TCGCATCATCCAAGTGGATGCTGCACACTGGTGGTGGTGTGGAGAAACCCCCCCTCATGATTGTGAAGCGCTTTGGGTGTATGGCCATACACAATAAATGTGCTATATAAATACACATTACATTTTACATTATATATATATATATATATATATATATATATATATATATATATATATATACAAAACAAATGGGACAAAAATAAATAAATAAGTAAATGTATTTATATTTACTTATTTATTTATTTTTGTCTCATTTGTTTTGTTTTGGCTAGAATAAAAGCAGTGTTTAATTTTTTAATAACCATTTTAGGATTAAAATTATTAGCTGTATATATTTATTTCGATTGTCTACAGAACAAACTTTTTATGTTTAGAAATGGGTTAAATAATATTCTCTATGTTAAACAGAAATCGGAGAAAAAAATAAACAGAGAGCTAATAATTCAGGGGGGGCTTAAATTATACATGTATATATTCATTAATTTATTTTCTTTTCGGTTTAGTCCATTTAATAATCTGGGGTCGCCTCAGTGGAATGAACCACCAACTTATCCAGCATGTGTTTTACGCAGCCAATGCCTTTCAAGCTGCAACCCATCTCTGGGTACAGGTGAATTGGGTAGGTTAAATTGTCCATAGTTTATGAGTGTGTATGGATGTTTTCCTGAGATGGGTTGCAGCTGGAAGGCATCCACTGCCTAAAAACATGTGCCGGATAAGTTGGCCAGTGATTCCTCTGTGGCGACCCTGGATTAATAAAGGGACTAAACCAAAAAAATATCTCGTAAACACAATTCATTCAAATTAATGAAAAAATGTAACAGCTTTAAGTATTGTCCGAAAAGTGGCTAATAATGTATGCTTTTTAAAAGAGGCAGGTCACACTTTATTTTGATGGTCCGTTTGTTGAATTTAAGTTACATTGCATCTGCTTTGCAACTAATTCTCATTAGATTATAAGTAGACTGTTACTGTAGGTTGGGGTTAGGGTTAGTGTAAGGACATGTACTTGCAAAGTTTCTTAGTTAAATGTCTGTTTAGCATCATTATCAACAGATATTAAGCAGACATAACTGGACCATCTAAATAAAGTGTTACCAAGATGCAAAATGTACAAATGTAATCTTACAAATTAATACGAATTAGCCAATAAAATCAAAAGGTTGTGGTAAAATTGCGTTGGATTCATTCATCGCCATGACTTAAACGCACCATAAGATGTTTATGGGCACGTTCTGTTTATTGTCTTAAGCATAATGTAAACATGAAATATTTGCAAATGTCACTATTCTTTATTATTGAAAAAATAATCAGAATGTGTTCCAATTAAAAAAAAAATCAATAAAAATCCCCTTTGTTTTGAATAGAGTGCGTCTTTATCCATTTTCTGCAATACCAGATTCCCATTTATTGCTGAAGCCAGACTCATTGTCTAAAGATCACATCCTGTTTGTTTATTAAGGGGGAAAAAATCCCGGATTTGGGAGGGATTGCGAATCCACAAACAGGCCAATTAAAGGAAGCTATTAATTTAGTTGCATTTGTCAAAGGGCTCAGGCAACAATTAGTACTATTAAGGCAATCTTGTCACATGTCGCCATGCCACATGGAATAGCTTCTCACAAGCTGTTCCATGGATCCCTATCAAACCAAATAATTCATTTGGCCCTAGAAGCCCTCGCTATGCTAAAATCCCTCTCTTTCTCTTTGACAGAGAACAAGCCTGCGGGGGGAACCATGCTTTCTATGAGGGGACTGTCAATTCTTCTTAGAAGCTCTGTCATGCGCATGTGTGGTTTGCGTAGACGTGTACTAATGCATTTAAGATATTGGCGTATGATTGTCTAAGTAATGTGACACAAGCACTTACGGCTTAGCAAAACGGGGTGTTGTGTTTAGTTCGGCGTGTGTGCTTGATTTGATACATGCGCGTTGGAGGAGAATAAATCTCTCACTTTCTCGAAATTGGCACAAAGAGGTATTCATGCAAATGAACCAGATCCTGCTTTTGATATGTACACTCACCGGCCACTTTATAAGATACACATTGCTCGTTCTCTTACATTAAGAACTGCCTAATTCTTTGAGGTGAATTTTCAAGAAGGTTCTGGAAGCATCCATGATGAGTATCTCTAATTCTAGCGCAACACAAGATGCTCTGTTGGATTGAGATCTGGAGACTGTGGACATTTGCGTTTAGTGGGTTCAAGAAGCCAGTTTGAGCTTTGTGACATGACACATTATCCTGCTGGAGTTTGCCATCACTAGATGGGTACACTGTGGTCAGAAAAGGGATGGACAAGAGCCCTTTCACACATACTGTACAGACCTTTCTGGAAATTACAATTTTACAGAAAGGTCTGTATGTGTGAACAGGCCCTTTTTGAAAATACTGGTAAATTTGTTCCGGCAATTTTTCAGAAAGAGACGTAACATTACTGGTAATTTGCTGGAATGCTGCACTGTGAACGCAGAAGGAACATTGCTGGAAAGATCGTGTTCATGATTAGAAAGCACTGATGTGAGATGTCTACACATTCAGACACATTCACATCCGCATTGTTTATGAGAATGAGCCTTTGAATATTTCTCCAGACATATTTAGCTGCTAGATGTTAGTCAGATAACGTTTCTATGTTCCTTAATGCCAAACTGTGTAAAAAAAAAATATTGATAAAACGATAAACCTCTGTATGTTCACCTTCAAGCTCTGCTTCAGTTGCTTGACGCGTCAGCCGGTCAGCGCCAGCACACACACATATAATGTACATCTCGACGTGCGAAAGTGTTCCTCACATCGAAGTTGTTCACAATACTTATCCATCCTCAGAATTAGTAATGTAGTCAACTGTGTAAACATTTAAACAAGGCACTTCTGCCTTTGGATGTCTCTGGGACAAAGTAAGCTGCAGGAATGCTAAAGCTTTAAATAAAAGTGAAATTATCAACAAAAGACCACTTCTATGTTTATAATTACAAGCACAGCCGTTTAGATGTCATTTCTGGTTGATGATGTCAGAATTTACCAGTATTTTGGAATTGATGTGTGAACAGTCTTTTCCGGAAAAATCCAGGAATATTATTGCCTGTGTAAACCGCTTTTTTGAACTTATCGGATATTTACCGGTATCGCTGTGTTTACTGGTATCGCTGTGTGAAAGGGGCTATGGTCAACAATGATACTTAATTGGTATTAAGGGACCCAAAGTGTACTACAAAAATCTCTCCCACATCATTACAACTGCTGATACTAAGTAGGATGAATTCAAGCTTTGGGACAATTTATGCCAAACCCTAACCGCACTATCCAAACCTTAAAGAAGACAGAGACACATCAGACTACTGTCTTCATTGGGAAAGTCAGTGAATTGTCTCCTCAGTTTGCTGCTTTTATTTGACATGAGGATTGTCTTTGTCTGCTGCTGTTGCTCATCTGCTTCAAGGATTGACATGGTGATGCTTTAATCTATTTGAACATATGAAGAGTTCAGATGCAAAACGCTACACGTGTGATGAGATAATGACATTAAGCGAATGCTTTAGGCATGTAGTATATGGTCAACAAATATTTTTGCTTCAAATTATCTTCCAGCATCAGCACATTCAGAAATAACAGTTTGTTTGCAAAAGCCTCTAAAACGCCACTTACCTTTGGCAGCAAAAGCTAGTATGTCCTGAGAACCAATCAGAAGGCGCGACTAGAATCATATATTTCAATGTAACAGCACACTGATATGCTGTCTTTTATGATGTTTTATTTCGCTATCGATTTAGGTATATATATATATATATATATATATATATATATATATATATATATATATATATATATATATATATATATATATATATATACACATATACATATATATATATATAAATCCCAGTAGATCAGCTGTTTCTGAAATACTCACAGCAGCCTGTCTGCCAGCAACAGTCACACTACTAAATACTAAAATCATCTTTCATTCCATTCTGAGGCTTGGTTTGGATTATCTTGGTCTTATCAACATGGATAAATGCTCTAAGTTGTTGTGATTGACCAATTAGATATTTGCATTAACAAGCACTTGAACAGGTGTACAGGTGGTATACATGGTATAAATCATTTATGTATCATTCACTTTTTTCTGTTGAATACAAAGGAAGATGGTCTGAATGTTGAAAAAAATCGGACATCGACTTCTATAGTATTGAAATCCTACTATTCCTATGTATGTAAATGTAAGATTTTTCCAGCACTTTTCAGATTTATGTTCAACAGAATACATCCATAAGCTTAGAACCATGTGTAAACATCTTTACACACTTAAGTCCAACATTTTAATTTGACCATTGTTTTGTATTATTATTATTATTTTGTAGTACAGGGGCTCTGAATTGTCAGAACACATCTCAAACACTTTCTATGGATGCAAAAAACAGATCAAACTTAATGGCTGCATCCGAAATCGCTTACTACTCAATAGGTACTGCATTTGAATTTACTACTCGACCGTTTGAAAAGTACGTTCTATGCAGTATGAATGTGAGTAGTAAGACTGGAACTTAGAAATGCCACATCCGCCACGTGACCAACCCGCATCAGATGCATTGCTTCACACCCATTGATGAATTCTCTCGCGGTGCATTATAGAACAGCATAGTATGCATCACATGCGCACTTCAAACTCTCACTGGAAGTAGTAGGCCTTCTGGATACTTCTCGCATACTGTTTTTCGAATTCTACGAATTAGGACATACTAAGCTTGCATACTGTTTTTAGCGTACTATATAATATGGACGTATGTAATTTTGGACGAAGCTATTTTTATAGATGAACAATGAACTTTAATCATAGGTAAATATTCATTTTCACATTTTGAAGTGAACCATCACCTTAAAGAGTATAAATAGGCATGACCAGTTTATAGAATGTACATGCCATTTAAATCAATTTACAGCACATTATCATCATCTCAAATGCAAGTAAAACAAAAAAGGCAATAGCGAAGCAGTCTGTCATGAAAGGAAAACAGTTTATTCATGTCTGAAATTACACATAACTACCACAAGGAAGACTTTTCAGTCCAGGGTGTAGTCTGGTTAGAAAGAAACACGAAACATCTTTAATACATTAGAACCACTGCCACAAATAAATTTTGTATGACTTTTTTTTTTATCAGTTTCAGAATCACATACGATACAAAAAAGAGAAAGTAAGTCGGTAACCCTGTCACACAGGATTTGAAATGTACAATTCTGAATACTGAAACCTCTATGCATTACAGGTTTTCTTTCTTTTTTTTTTTTTAAATCATGGGTTTTTATTTATTATTTTTTTATTTCTTTTTTTGCATGAATTAGTAACAAGATGAGCAACATTCAAAATGTTTGTTTTTTCAGTATTTACAACAGTTTAACTGTTTGGTGTTAATTTTATGATCATATTTCCCCCCTTCCCTTCAAATCCAGCACAGAATTGCCCCTCCACCAGCCACTGTACTCTCCATACTCTCCGTGCTATTCGTATTATTAATATTATGATTCTTTTTTTCTTTTTTTTTTCTTTTAAAAGTTGCAACAAAGCAACTTAGTTTTCTTAGAAGGTTAAAATATACATTAGATTACATAAAGAGCGAGAGAGAGAGACAGAGAGAGCAAATTTCTTACAAGATGGATTTCAACCAAACTAACAAATGTAAAAAAAAATATTTTTAAAAAGAAGGAATGAAAGAAAAAGACGAAAAAATAAATGTGGTGGTGATTTTGTTGAGAGGTAGTCAGTGAGAGCACTAGAAGCTAAAGAAATGTTTTAAATCTATTGGTTTTCTATGAGTTTCAATGAGGTAATAAAGCGGAGTATTTACTTGTGTGGTGTAGAAATACTCTCAAGCTATGTCATATACAAGAACCTTTTTTGAATGGAAAACTGCCAGAAAAGCATCCAACAAAATGTCCCATTTTTCCTTTACAACTTCCTTCATTAATTGTAGTGGACTGAATATTAATTACATTTCGTTTTTGTTAAAAAAAGACATTAATTGCCAGGTATTTAAAAATCACCCCCCAAAATTGGAGTGGATTGCCATTCATAGGTGGTCTTATTTTAGTATGACATTAATAAAAGCTCAACAAAAAAAGCAATGGATTCCCCAAGCTGCCTTCCGTAGCATTTAGCCCTGTTAAATGCATCTTATGAATATATTCATATTTTCAATTGTATTACTGCACTAAAGCTTTGCCGACAGTCGGTTAAAACAATTATGACCAACAAACTCCAAAAAAAAAAAAAAAAACATACTGTAGCATACACTTTGAGCTTGTACACTTCAAATAATATATATATATATATAAAAAAACAGCTGAATATGTTGGAGGAGAGCTTGTGTTAGTAAAAACCGCAGTGGACTGATGTTTACGGCTAAGAATTGTCCAGCTTCCGAAACACTGTGGAAAAGTGGATGATTCCATGAGGATGACAGTTTATTCTGTGTCTCTGATTGGTCAGTCTGTGGGTTCGTAATCGTGTGATTGGTTCTCCACAGTTTGGGAAGGGGCGTGTCAGTTCGAGGTATCAGAGTGCACACTACCAGGGCCTTCTGTAGGGGAGATCACAGAGGATGGAGTCGTAGCGTCCTGCCATCCTCCATTACCCTGAAAACACACAAACACAAATATCCGATAAATTACATGGTCAGCAAAAAACAAATATGAGCTTTTTTTTCAGTCATTCAGTTTTCTTCGGCTTGGTCCCTTTATTTACCACAGTGGAATTAACCACCTACTTATCCAGCGTATGTTTTACGCAGCAGATGCTCTTCCAGCCGCAACCCAGTACTGAGAAACATCCATACACGCTCACACACATTCACAACGGCCAATTTAGTTTATTCAATCCATGTATACTGCATGTCTTTGGACTCTGGGGGAAATTGGAGCAAACGGAGAAAACCCACACGAACACGGGGAGAACATGCAAACTCCACACAGAAATGCCAACAGACCCAGCCAGGACTCAAACCAGTGACCTTCTTGCTATGAGGCAACAGTTCTAGCCACAGAGCCACCATATCATCCTAAAAGCGTTTTAATAAACAAATAAAGAATGTGTGATTTTATATGGATGTGTAAATATGTACTGTAATAGAATATTCATTAATTTTCCTTTAGCTTAGTCCCTGATTTATCTCTAATTAGTTCCTATACTTAGTATGTATCCCTACTTAGTCCCTATTAAGACATAATTCTTTGGTGGAATATTACAAATATATTGTATTCCATTTGTTCATGAATTAATTTCATTTTTAAGCTAATATGTATTTAATGTAACAAAATTGAAAGTAAAATAAAATGAAATTCTGTTTTATTAATTTATTTATTTATCTGCTTAAGTATATATGTCAGACATAAGGCAACCAATAAATCTTCTACAACTTATAATGTAAAAGCCTGTAAATAAATCAGCAATATATACTATGTAATACAACACATACATCAAATTTAATATAATATTTAACATAAGCCTAGCTAAAGTTTCATTGTGAAAATATATATATATATATATATATATATATATATTTTTTTTTTTTTTTTTTTGAAAACATTTAATTTTAGTAATGGAAAATTCTACTATATATATATATGGTGGAATGCATTTCTTTTTTCTTTTTTTTTTTAAAGTTAATGTTTATTTGATTTACCAAGAATAAGTTCAGTTGTGAAAATTTGTGTTCACATAAGACAACCAATACATCTCCTATTACTTGTAATGTAAAAACCTATAAAATGTAATGTATATGTGTGTGTGTGTGTGTGTGTGTGTGTGTGTGTGTGTGTGTGTGTATGTGTGTGTGTGTGTTTGTGTGTGTGTGTGTGTGTGAGTGTGTGTGTGTGTGTGTGTGTGTGTGTGTGTGTGTGTGTGTGTGTGTGTGTGTGTGTGTGTGTGTGTGTGTGTGTGTGTGTGTGTGTTTAATAGAATATAAAGATTACAATTTAATATAATATTCAGTATTAGTCTATTGTAGCTTAAGTTTCACAGTAAAAACATTTAATTCCAGTAGTGGTAACCCCATAGTTTGTGTCATACTAGCCTTCAGAAATCATTCTATGATACTAATTTGAAGCTCAAGTGCTATCAACTTTTATTGCTACTACAAAATGTTAATACAAATATAGAAATTAAATAAGAAACTGTAGTGTGGTTGTGTAACTTATTTATGTGTGTAATTATATATAATATAACTTAATAGATTTGATTGATTTTGATCAATATAATGCATTCCTTTGGTAAAAATGTTAGTAAAATTAGTATTTTTTTAATTTTTTTTTACACAAATATAAGAAATAAAATCAGACATCCAATAAATCTTCTTCATCTAGTAATGTAAAAGCCAATAAATAATCTCCCCCAATATTCATAAATGCACAGAAGCGTGAGCATCATGAAGTGTGCCTGTTTATTTGTCTGCTTGCAGTAAAGTGTGTGTCCTAATCCTGCTGTGTACGTGTGAAGCATGCATACATCTGCATACTAATGCATTAAGAAATTAATAAGAGCGAGTGTCTCCTCTGATCTACTGTCTGACACGCCGACGGCCATCTTGCCACGTTAAACCCACATCGGCTTTATTCTCTCTCTCCCGGCCCCTGTTCCGCTCGCTCTCTGAAAACAAATTCGCATAAACGTTGTGGCCAATGGGAGCGATTGCTGGAATCAATGTCTAATCAGATTTCAGCGGTGGGCCGACAGCTTGTCGCTCCATATTTTGATGTCAGTCAAGGGGAGGAGGCCGGTTGGGGAGGGGGAGTCTGGAGGATGTTGAGTGGAAGTGACGGTGCAGGCCGTTCCCGTTCCTCCACCCTGATCGCCTGAGCACAAACCATTCGCACTGCATGGAGACCAAGCTTTGCTGGAGATTTTCCCTCGAAAAACGAGGCTTAGATCTGAGGCTGAAGGCTATAGTCATTCTTTGTATCAATACAAGTAATGGTTAGAGGAGGCCAACTGACACTGTAGACCAAACCAAACCAAATATCTGAAGCAGAATCACGTTCTGACATGAAGAAATAAATGTTTGATTCTTATATATAATTAATTTTTATACATTGCTTCTTATATTTTGTATACATTTTTTATTATCCATTCTTTTATTCGTTCAACAAGTGAAAACAACTACAGAAAATTAATTGTTACAGAAATGTAACACAAAAAACATTTCTAAAAATAGAATAATATTGTGATGTAGTTACAAACATAATAATATTAATATTAATAATAATAATAATAATAATAATAATAATTATTATTATTATTATTATTATTATTATTAATCTGGCTTAAATTATAAATTGTTTGCTGATTTCAAGGATGTAAATATATAAATAAATAAATAATAGAATCACGAGTGTTGGGGCTTAATATGACTAATAAATACACAATTCTACATAATAATAATAATAATAATAATAATAATAACAACAACAACAACAGCAACAACAATAATAATAATATTAATAATAATAATAATAATAATAATAATAATAATAATAAACACTTAATTTTTAGGTGGATTATTATTATTTTTCATGTATCATTATTAATAATATTTTAAATGTTTATTGATATTTTTGTCTTAACTTGTGAAAAATGAGAGTTTGCTTGAATTCTGTCACAAAACAACTTAAGAACAACAGCCATATGATCATTTGCTAATGAGATGTTCGGTTATCAAAACAATCTGCCTGTGTTTCTATTAAAAAACACTCACACAGACAGAGTTGTGTGTGTGTGTGTGTGTGTGTGTGTGTGTGTGTGTGTGTGTGTGTGTGTGTGTGTGTGTGTGTGTGTGTGTGTGTGTGTGTGTGTGTGTGTGTTTGTGTGTGTGTGTGTGTGTGTGTGTGTGTGTGTGTGTGTGTGTGTGTGTGTGTGTGTGTGTGTGTGTGTGTGTGTGTGTGTGTGTGTGTGTGTGTGTGTGTGTGTTAGGGGACATGTTCAATGGCGGAATTAGGAATTTGCTGATTTGAGTTCCTGGAACAGGTCGATAAATAGATTGTGCTGCTCTCCTCCAGCCACAGAGTCTGAACCCATGCTGAAACGCGAGTATTATGAGGAAGTCTGCTGTACCCCGATGACATGGATCATTCGCACACGCGCGCACACACACAAATACACACAAACAAACACACACACACTTGTAGTGATAGAGTGAGTTCTGATTTGGGCAGTGGACCAGAGTGAGAGAGTGTGAAAATGTGGCGTTTGAGTCTGCAACAGACTGACACTTTCTTCATCTGCACAGCTACGGGCCACAGAGACCTCCAAACACACACACACACACGCACAGCATTAGCCACAGATACACTGCCACGTCTGGGTCTCGGCGCTGTGAAAAATCAGGCATACGTTTTGACTTATGACATTTATCGTTGTGTGCTTTGCTAGAGTTAATTCATGCAAATGGAGCTCTAACAGTCATCAGAAAGTACACATATGACAGCTATGCTCTATTAATTACCTCACAGCAAATTATTCCTCCATCTGATTGCATCTGTTTCTCAATAGAAAGCGATTTGTTTTGCGTTCGGAAAGCTCGTTTGTCTTTTCCGATAATGTACGAGGACCATTTGGACCGATAAATAAGCTGTTTTGGATAAGGAATATGTAATAATCTATGCAGATTTTACTGCCTCGTTTGATAAAATAACAAATCCGGAAAATGCTCAAAATTTTCAAATGTTCCTATTTCATCAGCTCGGCAGCACAACAAGTTTTGTCAGGCTATGCTTGTACATTTTCATTTTAAAGAGTGTTTTCAGATGAAAACAATCTTTATTTATATTGCCGTTTCTGCTACGCTTCTGAAATGATGAGGTAAGCAGTTAAAAATAGCTACACATTTGTAGCACAAAATTGTCACACTTTATTTTGATGGTCCGTTTGTTAAATTAAGTTACATTGCATCTACATGCCAACTAATTCATAAGATTATAAGTAGACTGTTAGGTTGTGGTTGGGGTTAGGGTAAGTTCAGTTGACATGTACTTTCTAAGTTTCTTATTGTCAGTTAAATATCAGTTGAAGGAGCATATCAACAGATATTAAACAGACAGCCTACTAATACTCAAATGGAGCATCAAAATAAAGTGTTGCTTGCGTTTTCCGTCGACGTTTAACGCCTCATGACTAAATAAATGGCATCAAATGGTTCATTTTACATTTTTACAGAAACGCCTCATGCTCTTTTTTTTTTTTTCTTTGCAGCACCACATCAAAACCTTCTCCACCAATCAGATTGGCACTTTTGTTCATGTGCACGGAGCTGCTGAAGTTACAGTAAACAGCACTTGGAGACGCTCAAACTTTTAATGCGAGAAAATGCCAAAAGGCAATATGAACGTGAAGCTGCTTATTGCTCTGGGTGAACAATAATTAATTCTTCATCGCTAGAGCTGGAGCAGCTACTTGAACTATCCATAACAACAAGCGTGGCAACCTTCTTCTTCTTCTGTGTTACAAGTGGGTGTCAGAAGCTTAAAGTTGTGTAGCACCATCTAACGTCAAAGAGTGATTTTGCATACTCTTTTGTTCGACGCCAGTAAAAATCGCTTGGGTTTGAATCCAGAAAAACGTCTTAAAAAATGATGACGATAAACGCAAACGAAAAGCGTGCTGGTGTATACGAGCCTTACCCACAAAACTGTCGGCTATACAATTATTAAATAAAATATCATTATTTGGCAGCGAGAATGATCAATGCAATAACAACTGACAATTCAGTAACTTTTTCTATGTATGTGTTTTTTTAATCATATCTACGATATTAACTTAGCATATTATATTATGATACTCTATATTGTGTGCAAGTGAAAGGCTCAGGCACGATAGACAAAGTGGAAATGAGTGAAAATTTCCACCATTTCTTGGACAGATAAGAATGAGGAAATTTAGTGAGTTTACTATTCATTTAAAAAGTGTGAGTAAATGTAGTAAGTTTAATTTTAATATAAAGTTCTCTACTGTTTGTGCATGGTTTGGTCACAATAAAACATTGTGGCATTTTAATATACAAAAAATATACAGGATGTGCTTACGGCCATCTCGCTTTCTTTGAACTTAAGCTTGTCATCAAAATGGGTCACAGTTTGACAATAAGGTTGTATTAGCTAATGTATTTACTAGCATCACCAAACAATAAACACTACATTTACTACTGTATTTATTCATTTTTGTTAATAGAAATAAAGTTGTTCCTTGTTTGTTACTAATTAACTGTACCAAGTATGAATTTGGATTTTAATAATGCATTAGAAAATGTTGTACTTTGATTAATAAATGCTGCACAAGCATTGCTTGTTATTAGTTTATGGTAATAGCTACAATAGCTAACATTAACTAATGAAACCTTAATGTAAAATGTGACCTAAGATGTAACAGAATTCAGAGTATGGTCATGTGACAAGACTTGACGAATTAAAGCAGCAAACACAATGACTGACATGAGCCAATCAGAGAGTAAACACTTTCAAAAGTCTGTAGCTGCATCCAAAATCGCATACTTCCATACTATATAGTACACTAAAAACAGAATGCGAGCTGAGAAGTATCTTAACCTTAGAACTATAGGGTTCTATCTGACATTATTGTTAAAATTGAGTTATTAGCATATTCTTATTAAATGATAACTTATATTATGGGATGTTTTTAGACATGTTATTTAAAAAAAAAACAAAGGTTTCACACACACTGTTTGCTGTATAGAATGAAAAAACTTTGAAGCTCAAAATCATTCAGAGAACAGATAGAACCTTATAATTTCAAGGTGATGCTATGTCTGAATTTATAGAATTCGAAAAATAGTATCCGATAAGTATTCAGATGACCTACTACTTTCCGGCGAGATTCTAAAATGCACAATCTGATGCAATCTGATGGGCGCTATGATATCCCATGATGCACTGTGAGAGAATTCATGAATGGGAGAGAAGCTACGCAACTTACGTATGTAGGTCATGTGATCAAGAACAAAATGGAGGATGTAGTATATCCGAGTTCCATTCATACTACTCACATTCACACTGTATAGAATGTACTTTTCTAACAGTCGAGTAGTAAGTTCAACTTCAAATTCAGTACCTACTGAGTAGGAGGCGATTTCAGAAGCAGTATGGTTTTGTTTCATCTAAACTGAAATGCAAACCTCAATTTTACAAAACAAAAGTCTGCAGAGTTTGCAAAAATCTTGAGTTTTGTGTACAGATAGCCTCAGTCAGTTGTAGTTTTGTTTAAAGCTATTGCACCTAACTTTATACTTTTATGAACAGCGTCCCGACAAGCAAGGTAATAGATACATCTAAACCTGTGTTTAGTTCAAGGAAGATTTACGTCTGCATTTCTCACACACTTGTTCTCTCTCTCATCAAATAAATGAGTCTTTACTCTGATGGGTTCAAGATTATGCAGTGTATAGTGGGGGGAAAAAAACATCATATCAAACCTCATCAAGGAAGATAAAATTCATGCCTGCAGACGGCTGCAGGCAATCATACTTTCATATTTCATCATGTAGATAAGGATATTGCAAATTCTTTGAAGCATTGCAAAACAGGCAAACAGAGGCAAGGCGTGCTGGTAAAAGCCTTTTCATCTTACCACGTTATAGGTTACTGTAATAGGAACTGTTTACACAGGCAACAAACTGACTTAATATGTTTCCGAATCTCATTTTCCTCACACCACTCCCTAATACTTGAGCCGCAGGAGCTTTTACTGAGCAAAGCATTTATTTCTGCTTAAAAAAAAAACTGCCATATTTTCCGCTTTATGCATATTATGGGATAGACACTCCTGTCATCCTCTGAATCATCACTCTGTTTGTCGTGGAGTTTGGATTTATGGTGGCTTCTTGCTGTCTCGCTCAGATACTTATGATTTATATAATAATAACTAAATGTACTGCACATTATGAAGTTTTACAAAAATAAATAAATAAATAAAATAATTTGAAGTAAATACCAGCCTACTGTAGACATGATGTGTCCCAATCTGTGGCATTATTAAATGAACTGTACTAACTGTACTAAATGACTAAATAAAGTAAAATCAAAATACTTTTTTTCAACGAGGATGCATTAAAAAGACTTTCTAATTGGATTCAGTTTATTTATTATATTTTGTTGACATTTTTGTGGCAATATACACTCACCGGCCACTTTTTTAGGTACACCTGTACAACTGCTTGTTAATGCAAATTTCTAATCAGCCAATCAGATGGCAGCAACTCAATGCACATAGAGACATGGTCAAGATGACCTGCTGCAGTTCAAACCAAGCATCAGAATGGGGAAGAAAGGTGATTTAAGTGACTTTGGCATGGTTGTTGGTGCCAGACAGGCTGGTCTAAGTGTTTCAGAGTTTTTCGGGCACAACAATCTCAAGGGTTTACAGAGAATTGCCCAAAAAAAAGGTAAATATCCAGTGTGTGGCAGTTCTGTGGGCACAAATGCCTTGTTGATGCCAGAGGCCAGAAGAAAATGGCCAACAGTAACTCAAATAACCACTCGCTACAACAGGGGTGTGCAGAAGAGCATCTCTGAATGTACAACAACCTTGAGGCGGATGGGCTACAGCAGCAGATGACCACACAGGGTGCCACTTCTGTCAGCTAAGAATAGGAAACTGAGTCTACAATTCGCACAGGCTAAATTGGACAATAGAAGATTGGAAAAACAATTTCTGCTGTGACTTTCGAATTTTAATTGTCAGAATGACATGAAAGCATGGATCCATCCTGCCTTGTATCAATGGTTCAGGCTGCTGCTGGTGGTGTAATGGTGTGGGCGCATTTCTTGGCAAACTTTGGGCCCATTAGTACAAATAGAGCATAGCCTCAATGCCACAGCCTACCTGGGTATTGTTGCAGACCATGTCCATCTCTTTATGACCACAGTGTACCCATCTTCTGATGCCTACTTCCAGCAGGATAATGTGCCATATAATAAAGCGTGAATTATTTCAGACTGATTTCTTGATCATGTCAATGAGTTCACTATAGTCAAGTGGCCTCCACAGTCATCAGATCTCAATCCAATAAAGAACTTTTGGGATGTGGTGGAATGGGAGATTTGCATCTTAGATGTGCAGCTAACAAACCTGCTTCAACTGTGTGATGCTATTATGTCAATATTGACCAAAATCTCTAAGGAATATTTCCAGCACCTTGTTGAATCTATACTATGGAGCATTAAGGCAAAAGTGGGTCTAACCCGGTACTATTAAGGTGTACCTAATAAAGTGACTTGTGAGTGTAAATGCTGTACTTTTGAGCTTTCTAAAAGAAAAACAACTATCATCATTTCACAATCAATCAATCAATCAATCACTCAATCAAAACATGTTTTTCAACCACTCAATCATAACAGTAGAAAGATTTCTGAATGGTCAGTTGACATTGAAGACTTAATTAATGGCTGCTAAAAATTCTCCTTTTCTATTACAGGAATATTTTTAACTGTATTTAAATGTAAGAGGTACACTTTTCAAAACACTAAAAAAGTTAATAGTGTAGTAAGTGTATTATTATTATTAATGCCTCTTCAAGGCTGACTGAGACTATACTTACATTCAAGCCATGTGGACTATACATGGGATTCCCCCCCAGGACATCATTGTATCCTGCCGTCTGACTGATAACATGGCGCAGGGTATCCACCTGCAGAGGACACAACAGAAATTCAAGCTTGTCAACATTCTGCATTTCAGAAACACGTGCAAACATCAACACAGAAATGTGTGGTTAAACGGACAAAGGCACTGATGTTTAAAGAAAAAAAGAACAACAACAACGAAAAAAGATGGCTCTGAGGTTTACTAAATGAATCATACTAAATGGAATATCCAGCCGGATGAAGTTAGGAATACATATGTGGTTTAATGCAACATTTAGACAGCATATGTGTTTCCCCTCTCTAAAGGTTTCTGGTGTTCAACACAGAGTTCAAAAAAACAAAAAATACATAAAGAAAGAATGGCATAATTATGATAGGGAAATTTCAACAAAGCACAAAAATATTCACACATGACAACAGTTGGAGGAGAATATAGATTGAGACAACTAGTGCTGGGTAAGTTACTTCAAAAAAAGTAAGTCGTTATTGCTAATTACATTATTAAAACTGTATTTAAATGTGTTTTCTAATTAAAAGTAACTTAGTTACTCAAATGTAATTTGATTACTTGACTCACGACTAACATTCCACATGAATTACATTGCATAGACAATAGAAATTAAACTCTTAATTGTTTAAATTTGAGTCAAAGAGGACATTTTCGATTTGTTTTAAAGACACTTTCATTTTAAATATATGTATCAAAACATGAACCGTTTGTATTTATCGACATTTATTTTCTAAAGCAATTCATTGTTTCTTATGCGTGTACAATTGTCAGATAATTCCATACTTCTTTAGTTAAAATGTATCATTATATAGAAATCCAGTCAAAATGATTAGCCCCCCTAAATTACTAACCCTCTGTTTATTTGTTCTCCAATTTCTGCTTAACGGAGAGAAGATTTTTTCAACACATTCCAAAACATAAAGTTTGTTCTGTAGACTATCGTAAAAAAACGCTTTAAGGGGCTAATAATTTTGACCCTAAAAGGTTTAAAAAAAATATTAAAAACTGATTTTATTCTAGCCAAATTAAAACAAATAAGATTTTTCCAGAAGAAAAAAAATATTATCAGACATACTGTGAAAATTTCCATGCTATGGTAAAAATATAATTTAGGAAATATTTACATTTACATTTAGTCATTTAGCAGACACTTTTATCCAAAGCGACTTACAAATGAGGACAAGGAAGCAATTTACACAACTAAAAGATCAACAATGAATAAGTGCTGTTGGTAAGTTTCAGGTATGTAAAGTGTAAGAAGCAAAACATTAGTAATTTTTTTTTTGTAATAAATAAAAAGTTCACACACACACACACACACACACACACACACACACACACACACACACACACACACACACACACGCACACACACACACACACACACACACACACACACACACACACACACACACACACGCAAACACACACACAATTATTGTGGATCTCTTAATTTTTTTATCATATATTGTCAAGAACTAACTTCTCAATACATTTTTGCAAATTAAACAGACTTAATGTTCTTTAGTTGGACAATAGAATTATTTTTATATATATATATATATATATATATATATATATATATATATATATATATATATATATATATATATATATATATATATATATATATATATATTTATAACAAAAAAATTACAATAATTTGCTGAATGTAAATAAAGTATCTATGCAAGTATGAGTAAACTACTGATTAACTGACCTAAACATTAATAGTAATCCCTTGATTTGCTTTCTCATGTTAAACGTAGTTTAATTGCAGTAACTATTTACTTTGTAAGTAATTACACCTAACACTGGTGACAATATATTAAAGAAGCATGAGCAGATAATAGGAATCTAGGAAATGTTTAGATCATTTTCTTTCTCTCCTTCAAATGGTGTCTTCAGCACAAGGATGAAATGAGCATATGCAGATATGGAGAACTGGAAACATCACAATGAGAAAAGGATATAGAGGTTTGGAGGAAAGAACAGTACCATACAACCAATACCAACCCAAGAGCTCAAGTCAGAGCCAAAATGCATTCACAACATCAACTACAAAATGGGGTCTGCTCCAGGATCAATATCCTAGCATACTGCTGTAAATAATGAGTGTCTACTTAGATGGGCCTCTTATAGGCTGCGATATGGTAATTTGGTTGGGGGTTCCAGACTGGAAATGTGAAGGATCCATCCATATCCAGACTACTTATTAATCTTACATGACTATAATGAGACTAATTGTTGAAGGGGTGATAAAAACTGTATCATTGTCTATATGTTAAGGGGGAGGGGGGGTTGAGGTTTAAATGTGGATGGTAGGCTAGCTGACAGGTCTGCTCTGGTTCACAGCCCCAGTTCCTGTGCGTAGCGCCTACCTGTGACTGCACATTGGCTCCGACTTGTGCCCCTTGGTAAGAATCCCCATTCAGATTCTGCATGCTCATGAACAAGTCCCCCGAGTTTGGGAGGTTAAAAGAACCTGACGAACCTAGAAAGGAAAGATGTAAGGAGCTGAATAACGAGAGGATGAGAAAGAGAGGCTATCACAGGCTCACACATACACACAGTGTACGAGGACATACGCACAACACACGCCACACTAGGAAGTGATGCCAGGAAAGCAAGCAACAAAAGGACAGCAAAAGAAACAAGGAAGAAATGAAAGGACAAGGATGGGGATGACGGTCTAGTTGCATTAAAACTCTAAAGGAGCACGTCGGGGTCACCAAAAAAGCCAAATCAAATGGGGAAATCACAACAAGGCACAGAGATGGTGTATGGAGTTGGAAGTCTAGGTTTTCCACAAGGGTTCACACCTAATACTACTCTAGTGGGCGAGTTCATAAAGGGGATTATATGCCAATGACAAGGACAATAAGAAGCTTATGGAAAAGGCCAGTACCAGTGAACATGTTGGTTAATAGAGTGTTTTTGTTCTCTGCAGAATCCAGCTGAAATTCTTCATCTTTCATCTGGAATCCTGGGTGCAAGAAAAAGGGGACCCCTTAAAAAATTGCTTACCCACAACTCCTCAGGGTTTAAGCCATGTCCATATTACAGTCAAATCTTCTGCTTATTATGTTTAAAGAGCATACATTTAAGCTACACACTGCATCATTCTACTAATCAAATATTCATCATCATTCCAAACTATACATTTCTTTAAGAGCGTAACATGCTCCGAGCAAGAGATTTCCATCAATTCACAGAGGGGGTAACACTGTCACATATTTATGGATAGGAAGGGAGGACAGTGGGTGAGGATTATCTCTTCTACCCCCACCAGCACCACCACCCTCCCACCCCTCAATTCTGCAAACATATTCAGCATGTGCACACAGTTTCTGCTTGACTTTGCTCGTCTCGTTCAGCATGTATAGTCTCATAGGCAGGAGAGTGAGGCTCATCCCCCAGGCTGGGACCTCTCACTGTCACAGCAACCAACCAGCGTGCCAAAGGGAGCAGAGGTTCAGAAGGGACCAAACTGGGATTTTGGATGGCTGGTTGGTTTTTAGGGGGCTCGTCCGGGAGTGGTGCAAGCTTACCGGAGTTGGGTGTGGTGGGTGAGTTGGTCTGACTATTCTGGACGGCGGCAGCTGCTGCATGTGCTGCAGTCACGGCTGTCTTAGCGGCATACAGGTTGGCCTCCTCTTGGAACTTGCCGATGTTTTTTTTGTAGCGGATCCTCTTGTTGCCGAACCAGTTGGATACCTGGGGGAGAGATGGAAAGAAAAAGAAAGGGGGAAAAAAAGAGGAGGGGGCGTCAGACGTCAATGCAGACGAGGCACTGTGCACTGAGCAGAGTGATTGTTTCAAGATGTCATGTTTGGGTCCATCAAGTCCACAGTCCCCAGCCTCCCACAGTAATATCCGCTGGGCATGCAGACTAATTAAGCGATTATCAGACAGGGCTTGTGCGTTATTGCGGATGGAGGCGTGACATGCTCTCTGTTTGTCTCTAGACAAAACCAACACACAAGGGGCTGCTTGTCTTGTGGCAAAATTAGGATCAGTGTTGTGCTTAGGGGATCAGGTAGCTAATGCCAAATGTGAAGGTGGCATATTTCCTTGTATGGCTAGCTGAGATCCTCTTAAACAAGGTGTTTGTCCTTTTTACTATATAAAGGCATTCTCGATAAGTTTTAGCCTAACACTTTATTTAGATTTTACTTCCACTACCTTTCCTAAAAGGCAACTCGGATGCATTTGGTTGCCTTGATTTCAAAGGCAAGGCTTTTATGCATCTTAATAACACTTATGTTCTTTTCTTTTGCATGAAACCACTTTTGTGTGCCTGCCTTAAGAAAAATAACAGACATAATAATAACACAGCACACCTAAAAGCAGGCGCACCGCCTCAACCCAATACATTAATAATTACAATAATGCTAATTTTACTAAAAACAGCAGCCAGAAAACAATAAGATCTGGGTCACATGGGGGGTGGTAGATGTGCAAATGCTAGCACTGCATAATTGTGGAATAATAAAGAGATTAAGGGTTGTTTCTTAATAGCCCTATAAATTACGGTGGCCTGTCGCCGTGGCAATCTCTCCTGCTGTATTCCGGCTCTGGCTGGACTGGAGGACCAGAGAGCCTCAGCCCCTTAATGATGCTTTATTTAATTTCCACCTCTCTGCTTCCATTTTAATATCTCCAGCAGCCCGAGCCACACTACGCTACAGCCGCTGAATTTACATGACATCAGATCATTTCTACCCCCACCATGCCTCTGCGCTTCTAAATCTTTAATATCTAGGCAATTAAAATTAATGACCATTCGGCTGAAGCCACCACCGTTGGCAGGCTTTTGCCTTAACATCAATTGTTTGATGGGTTTACCTAGAGGTTAAACTAACAAGCAAGGTTTAATTGGAAGCAATGAAAGCACTAGCCGTCATCCTTTTTACTTAACCTGCTTATGAAGCAGTTTAAGGCCATGGAAAAAGGCACACAGTCTCTAAGCTATGCTGCCTCAGAAGATAAAATAACTTATACTTTTCTTTTCCTAAACCTAACATTTCCCATTTTAATGAAATAAAGATGTTTACAATATACAGCTTATTCAAATTATTACTTCCATCATTTGCTATGTGTTTCTATTTCATTTACAATAAATTCTATAGTTATGCAAATAAAATAAGGATGTCTGAAATGTAAAAATATGAAAGCTCAAAATAAAAAATGTTTAGCTAAGTATTGATTCTGTGTTTATAATCATTTAATTCATTTTAAACTAATTATAGTTCTTATGATAAATGCCTGAAAAGTGTATTTTTATAAATTAATATGTTTTCTTACACACTAATTAATAGTTATTTTGGCGATTGTTAGGTTTAGGTATTGGGTATGTTTAGGGATGTAGAATAAGATTATTCAGAGTTTGTACTATATGAGAAGTAACATATAGCCAATATCGTAATAATAGTCAGATATTGAGACACTACCCTTATAAGACATTAATATTATGCTTGATTTAGGTCACCAGCGTCTAAGGACAATGTTATTTTGACATCCAATAACGACATGAAATGACGTTGTATTGGAAAATGGCCAAAATCTAATGTCGAGCCAACATCTTAAACTAACGTAATGTTGAAGTCATATTCTGAGATTTATTTGTCAGGTCTGGCAACCAAAATCTAAAGTCTGATACAATAGATGTCATATTGGTAACGTCCACATAATGTCAAGCTGTAACATCAATACACATAGATATTTAAAAGTGAAAAGTGACCAAAATGCAATGTTTGTCCGATGTTGGACATTGATGTCTGATTGACGTTGGGTTCGGATGTCGTTGGGTTCGGATGTCAAACAAACAAAAACAGTCCAAACAAAATGCAGTGTTCCATGATGTTGGAGTACAATGTTAATCTGACATCATGTTGATGTCCTGTGCCTGCTGGGTAGTTATTAGTAAGAAATGGTACTTAAACTGAAGTGCAACCACTTTAGTTTAAACTGACCTTCAGTTGTTTTGTTCTATAAGACTAATTTCTGTAAGACTACTCTAGTATAGACCATTTTGAGGTATGTTAACAAAAGCAATGGTCCCAACGTATTTCCTGTTTTACATTTTCCAGTTCTAAACCTTCCAAGAATCCAAAAAGAGCCACATATTGATAAATAAAGTCATAATGGCAGTTTTTAACATTGAGTTATAATAGAATTGCCTCTTGGTACAGTTATGAAATAGTTTGATAACACACAGGAGATGCTCATGGGCCAATAACATCACTACATTGAAATGATCTATTTACAAGACAACAGTATATCTAAATCCTAGGTGGTTATACAACACAGACTTTCAGTTTACATGTTTACATACTTTTTTTGTATTCATAATCATGCCAGAAGACACTAGACTGAAGATGCGGTGGACTTCTATGCTTGGAACCCAATACCTAGTTTGTTTGCTTTAAACCAATGGAGAGGAAAGCCTGTGTGGGTGTAGTAAATAATTCACCACTACTCCCTCCCCAAGCTTGGGTCAATAAGCTGCTAGTGTCACTGAAATGGGATGGATGATCTTACCCAGGTCTCAATACCTCCCGATTTATACTGCTTCTCTTGCTGAGAGTGGAGCTTAAATGGAGACTCAGACTTCTGGCTTCATCTCTCTCTCTCTCTCTCTCTCTCTCTCTCTCTCTCTCTCTCTCTCTCTCTCACACACACACACACACACACACACACACACACACACACACACACACACACACACACACACACAGTCCTAGGCGGTTGCAGTGGACAGGGCTGCTGATATTATCAATAATGAAGTGGTCTGCATTAATAGTTAACACATTAACCTGAGGCAGAGCTCTGCTACATGTATAATGAGCTGAAATATTGATAAGTGTCGCTCGTTTGAACCGCAGGAAGATCGAAGCAGAAGAACCGCATTTAATTGGGTGATGGGCACTACACTTTGTGCCCACTCATTTGCAGGGTGCATGATATCCCCTCTTGATTTGATGCCTAAAATCATAACAGTTATGAAAACTATTTTTAAAAATCCTTGTGTGACCCTGTATGCCACAGCGATCGTTTAGAAGATGAAGAGATTTTGCCCAGATAATGAGCTTGATTCTGTGTGCTGAATGAAGGGGTGCCTAAATTTCATTAACAATACTATTAACACCACATATCACTTCTAATCAGTTGCACACCTCTGGGATCTACATGTGCTAGTATTTGTTTCAATGAGAGTTATTAATTACATTGCTATACATTGTTTGTTTTTAAATACAGGGCAAATTTGGGTAACACTTCATTTTAATGTACAATTCACACTAATAACAAACCATTAACTAAGACTTGTACTTCGATAAACGTTAGTTTAGTAATAGAAAGTAAGGAAGCAGTTGGTGTAGTAGGTTTTGGGAAGAATTAGGGATGTAAAATAAGATCATACTATATAAGTGCTAATAAAAAACTAATACCTTAATAATAAGCTAGTAGTAAATGGTGTGAATTGTTACTTAAACTAAAGTGGTACCCACATTTGTCATGTTTTAATTTTCTAATAGTAAAATGCAAAAAAAAAAGGCATTAAAAATAACACCATTGTTAGTATACCAACCAGTTTTGTAATATTATTGAGAACAGATTGTCCAGCATATAAATCAATATTAAATAAAACAAATAAAAACGGTACCTGAACATATGCAGTGATTAAATACAATGTGAGGTAAATATCTACCACAGGCATGTCAAAATGTATAATGACAAGACATGACACAGGACATTAAGCGGTTTGACGAGTGAAATTCTCTAGGGAAAAGTGGAGGGGGTGTATATACATATTGTATGTATGTTACATACATATCATCTGATTACTGAGCACTCCAAATAAAGTTCCACGCAACACTTGCCTGGTGTGCAGATCTGTTGTCGCTAAGTGCAGGGAAGGTAGACTTTTGGGTAACAGAGTGCTGAGTATGTCTTAACATGTTCTAAGGTATAAGTGAACACACATGAAGGGGTGACAGAATAAAGGAAAAGCAACAATAAAGAAAAAAAATGGCACAAAAAAAGTGGAGCAGAAGTCATGACATACCTGTGCCACTGTGATGGTGGTTCCCACCCCCTGAAGGCAAAAAAGAATGGCTTTTACAGGATCTGACTCTGAACAACCCTCCATAAGCCCCTCCCCACAGAGTAAAAAACATTGATATCATCACAGAGTATGCAAATATGATCTGAGACCAATGACTTAAACAGTATACATTTTCCTTGACCACCTCTGTGACAGTTTGAAAAACACAAAAGAGTTTTGTCTGTGGGGAGATGGGTGTGGGTGGGTACTCTTGCCTTCAGGTGGATTCTGAATTTAGATATTTGAGTGGGAAAACACTGCAATGCTCTTATAATAATTGATTGTATTTTGTTCGTCTTATTTATTTATTTTGCAAAAACGAATCACACTGTGTGACTAAAAGTTTGTCCCTCTTCTTCCTCTCCGACACACATACACTCACATTTTGCACAAATTTACTCTAAAACACAATGACTGACACAGATCACCACAAACTGTGGCATCCATCCACAACAGGGTACACGCTGTGTCTTCAGGCCCTGCTTGAGACTCAGCTCAGTGGAAGTATCAGACTGATGTGTTAGAGCAAACAGGTATGCATGCTAGACAGTGACGAGAGGAAAGAAGAGGACAAGGAGAGAGAGCGACTGAAGAGTCTTTCTGGTGTGATCAAGATTGGCCCTGTCCCAAACGGTGCCCTTGCGATCCTCCTCCTTGCGAGTCCATGCTGCATAGTGCATAGTGGCTGCAAAGGGGATGCTCGGGAAGGTTTGGAAACCTAAAACGACAAACTGTACACCATACCAACAAAAGTCACAAGACTCTTCACATTAAGTGCGCCATTGGAGACAGGGCCTTGCTTTATCTGACCTAGCCTTGCCAATTAGCTGTGGTTAGACTAGATTATAGTAATACCCTGCTTAAAAACAAAAATAAGTCAAAGGTGGTTTGATGGTCTCTTAGTCTGACAGTCTGGGCCCTTGGCTGGTTTTAGAAGGCTATCTGAATACCACCCCACCACTAGTCAGAATTGGAGATCTATAAACCACAGATTTAACGTTAGCATCTTTCATAATGTTAAGCAAAGTCAGTGTAAATTGGAGGTTTATTTCGGTATGTTGATATACTGAATAAATTGAAAGTAAGTATAGAGTAGGGCGTGTGGCTTCCTTTTTTGCGCATCATTGTCTTGTAGCAAACTAACTATAAGAAGTTAAGAACATTGTAGTTGAAGACATCAGATATAAACAGAGAAGAACAGCAGTCCAAATCTGGATTTGATTTAAGATGACCCATTTAGTTACCAAACATTCATTGGATTACCTTAATTATTCATCTAAATGTTAACAAAATTTGCTAGGAAATGAAAAAGTAAATTTTTATTTCACACAGACTTAAAGGTTCAGGACTCCCTGGAGTATTTTTTGAAGTTTTAACAGATTTGTGTGTGTTGAGCATCAGTTAAGACAACATTTGCACCTGTCAGCTTTAATGGTGGGGAAAAGCTTTAATGGTGGGCTGTGATCTAAATCGTTAATGTAGTGCAAATCTGCTAGTGGAGTAATGACGCATCAATTCCTCACTATTATTCATAGAAAAATTTTCTTATCCTATGAGAAGACCATGCTTTTTTTAAGTATTCATGAGAGCATGTGTTTTCCGAGGGCAAGGCAGACCTGCCAAGCTGTGGGGTTGTATGTGTTTGTTTCCATGATTCATGAGTTTGTTGGATGTTTTTCACCGGGATTCTGTCAGGCCCGATACAGCAAAGCTGTACCATTTTTGTCAGAAGAGCTGTACGAAAATTGGAGAATGGCTGACTTTGTCTTTTATCAGTTGAGTTCATTACCATTCAGACACATCGCTAATATGCACGCTGCTGTGTTCACCTATGTTTAAAATCGTCAGATAATAGTTGAAATAGACAGGGAAAGAGACCTACTGCTCTGCTACCACAGTCTGCATTCAGACCCCGGGATTGAGGGGGAGAGAAGTCATCCTCTTTTATAGTGTTTATGAACACGATTATTTTTATGATGATATAACAAATTGTGGTTATGTGTATATGAAATTATAAATAAAAAATATAGCAGGACATTAAATTACTTACTGTTTATTTCTTTGCATTTTAACTTTGTAAAACTATAAAATCATGGGTCTTCTCATGGTTAGTGTCTCTTTTTGTGAGCCGACTGACAGTTGTTCGCTCCCCTCTTTTTCCCCTCCTTTGCTGGCCACGCCTTCTCCTCCCTCTGCTCACAGAGCTCCATGCCCATCACGAAGCATTTTTTTTAAAATCCTGAGGCAAACTTAAACTAAAAAAGGGAGGTTTCATGGCCCTTTAAAGAGATTATGACTTCTATTAGTCACACATCTTCATGTGATACGAATTTGCAGGGCACCATATTTGAACAATGGAATGCAATGACTTTCAGACATTGTATTTCCTGTCTCCTACATTTACCAAGTTAAAAGAATGAACAGAGTAGTGATATGATTGACCCTAATTCAAACACACCTGAACAAGCTAAGGAACATCTTCTGAAGTTGCAGTAAGACTTAACTTAAGATCCTTGAGTTAGACCAGCTGAATACCAACCTAGCCAGGCTAATGGACCATCTTAAACCAGCATTTTAACCATTGATTTGTATATATATATATATATATATATATATATATATATATATATATATATATATATATATATATATATAGCAGGGATTGGACTTAATTGAATTTACCCAACTATTGCCTGGATATAGGTACACTAAATCTTTAGACTTTGACAGATAAATATTCCTTTTAGACTGTCCAACAAACTGGGCATGTGCTGCTGTAAAAGGGGTGTGGTCTCACCTGGGATACTGTTATGCTGCACTTCTTAGCCAGCTCCTCTTTGGCCTCTTCGCTGGGATAAGGGTTACTAAGATGCGAGTAAAAATACTCATTCAGGATCTCGGTCGCCTGCTTGCTGAAGTTCCGCCGTTTCCGTCTGCCGTTGGACAAGTTGGAGAGGGAAACAAGAGGAGGAAGGCAATTAGAGACTCAAATAAAACCTTGTGAGATGGCCAAACTCATAATGAAGCTGCTGGCAGGAAATGAAGTCGGGAAGGCTATTATCGGAATACATATGTAGACGCGCAAATGGACGTTGTTACGTTATCAGTTGAGCTTTAAGCGAAGCGTGAAATGTTCAGTGTTTAGAGCGACAAGCGTTCCCTCTCTCTCTCTTGCGCTTTCATTCTGATGGGGGCGTTTAGAGGTGCTCAAGCATTCCCAGTCAGAGCTGTATCTTGGGACATTAGGGAAATCAAGCCATGGCCAGCTGAACACTGTTCCTCAAGTACTGGGGCAGGGCCTGATGGAGTTGCACTTACCGCCACTCACTGCAGCAGCCCACCCCACCGCGGTTAAGCGCTGGCTTCTTTCTCTCGCCTTGTTTAATGCCTTTCACACGAGTGGCCGGCCAAACGATTGTGCTTCCGCTTCACTTGAGTGTTCTCCTCGAGACCTCATCCACTCTTTTCTCATGTTCACTGCATCATTTCTCTCCCCTGTACGCCTCTCCAGATCTCCTCTACCAACTGTTTGTGATTACAGTAATCTGGACCACCTGCTGATGACCTCCTACCCACCAAACGCAAATGACTTCATTTCCACTCTATAAAACTCTTAACTGCTTTCAGGTGCTTAGCATGACTGTGTTCGGTGGATGGCCTCTAAGCTCTAAAACCCTTGTCTTGGCAACACCCCATCTTAACCGCTAGTGGTTGAATAATGCTGAAAACATTATTGCTCATGGCTTATAACAGGTGCTGTTCCATCAGTGGGATTGCCTTAACCCTGGGTATGTAGGTTAAAACTTCATACTTCAAGAAACAATTCAAGAAACAAAGTACCAAGACTTTCTGTGTATCTATAAATGCAATTATGAGTTGTCATTTTGAATAACATATATCTGCAGATGATAAGTAGAAGATATATTCTTTCAAACACAAGTGAGAATAATTTGTACATGCACATTCTAAAAAAAATCAAATAAAATTGAGGACACCAACCTGGCGTCAAGGAAGCGGGACCTCAAGATCATGACAGCTTCACAGGTGCTCTGTTTAAGCTGCATTTGGATGGAGCTGAATTTGCGATGAATGATGCTGACCATGCGTTCAATCTCTTTGGGCGAGATGGGCCGTGTGCGAGACTGTTCCCTCAACAGGTTCATTACGTGGGTAGTGAACTCATTACATGCCTGTGGAGAAAGACAAGTTTGAGTTTAAGACTGCAGCGTTAATTCCGACTGAGGATGTAGGTGTAAAAAATCAAATCATTCCAAAGTCTTTAGGACCCACTACCGAGACTCAGCAGCTACGTGCAATAAATAATTTCTGAATCTACAACTCATCATATCTTTACTTAAACCCCCCAAAAACTTCCTAGAGATCGACCCTCCTTTTAAAATCGTTATATAGTCTCGACTCAGAAATGACAGAAATGCTCTTTGACGTTATTCCGCAGAAGAAGCACATCAGTTCAACTGCATTCGTTTGAAGCTCTCCGGAGCAGCAATCAGCAATATTTGAAGCAAGTTCAAAGCTGCTGCTCTTGAAAGCTGGGAAAAAACACCATCCATATACTGTTTGTAGTGCTGCTGAGCACTTGAACGGCTTAATAGGTGAAGTCATCTATGAATGCAAATGCCGATTTGCAATTTGGCACCTGCCCAGCGCCCGTAGAATTTAAACAGCTTTTCGTTAAAGCAGTGGTTCATACATGATTAATTAGAATAACTCATTTAGGTAGTGCACACTTTAGCTCATTACTCGGAGTAAAATTTGTTAAGTATTTACATTTAGATAATTAAAAACGGGGAACACCCTTAAGAAAGATGCATTTACTCCGGGTGAAGGGTTGAGCCACCTTTTCCGCATGCTTTCTTTTTAAACGCTTGCAAGTAATCAGGCTAATTTAGCCCATTCTCTGGCAAAGCCATTAGCTAAACAACTTCCATATCATAATAAAAGGATTGTTATTTACAAATAAAAGTGCTCCACAGACCATTCTTGATTGTTTACGGTGTAAGTACACTCTACAGCAGGTCAATGACATAAGAGTGACCGTGAATCAAGACAAGGAAAAGCATTACAAAATTGTTCACACTTTAAAATAAGCTTACACTGGTTATTGTACAGTAAGTTAATATATATGAACCCAGACTACTTGTACAGCATTTATTTATTATAGTCCAACAGTTACTAGTGCATTATTTTAATCAAAAGTTGTGTAACATTAAATAACTTACTTTGAGATGAGAACAACATTGAACAGCTTTATTTTCTTTAACGCTTGAAAAGATGAATAAATACTGTGACATATGTATTGTTCATTGTTTGTTCATGATAGTAAATACATCGACATACTGTCTGTTAAACAAAACATGCATCTTACTAAATGTAAATCGATATTGTTTAAAGTAAATAAGTAAACAGTGATATTTTGTGGCATAAACTCTAACCATTATCAAGTAGTTAGCCAAAGCTTCATATATACAGTGCATCGAAATGTATACATAGCGTTTCAATTTTTCCACATTTTTTTATGTTATAGCCTTATTCCACAATGAATTAAATGAATTTATTTCCTCAAAATTTTACACACAACACCCCATTATGACAATGTGAATTTTTTTTTTTTTAAATTGTTGCTAATTTATAAAAAAAAAAATAATAATAAAATAAAAAATCACATGCACATAGGTATTTACAGCCTTTGCTCAGTACTTTGTTGATGCATCTTTGGCAGCAATTACAGCCTCAAATCTTTTTTATATGATGCCACAAGCTTGGCACACCTGTCTTTGGGTATTTTTGCCCATTCCACTATGCAGTAACTCTCAAGCTCTATCAGGTTGGATGGGAAGTGACGGTGTACAGCCATATTCAGTATGATTTAGTCTGGGCTCTGGCTGGGCCACTCAAAAACATTCACCGAGTTGTTGTGAAGCCACTCCATTGACTTTTTGGTGGTGTTCTTTGGGTCATTGTCCTGCTGAAAGACCTCGCCCCAGTCTGAGGTCAAGAGCCCTCTGAAACAAGTTTTCATACAGGATGTCTCTGTAAATTGCTGCATTCACCGTACCCTCAATCCTGACTATTCATCCAGTTTCTGCTGCTGAAAAACATCCTCACTGCATGAGAGGGAGTGGCTTCTATCTGGCCACTCTATCATACAGGCCTGATTGGTGGATTGCTGCACAGATGGTTGTCCTTCTGTAAGGTTTCCTCTCTCTAAAGAAGAACGCTGGAGCTGAGACAGAGTGACCATAGGGTTATTGTTCAACTCCCTGACAAAGGCCCTTCTCCCACGATCACACAGCTTAGTGATCTCTTGTGCCCCCCTGACAATCCTGTTTCAGAGGTCTACAGACAATTCCTTTGTCTTCATGCTTGGTCTTTGCTTTTACATGCACTGTTAACCCTGGAACATTATTTAGTCAAGCGTATGCCTTTTCAAATCATGTCCAATCAACTGAATTTACCACAGGTGAACTCCAATTAAGCTGCTGAAACATCACAAGAATGATCAGTGGAAACAGTATGTACCTGAGCTCAATTTAGAGCTTTACAGCAAATGCTGTGAACACTTTTGTACATTTGATTTTTCAGGTTTTTTATTTTTAATAAAAGTTGCAACAATTAAAATATTTTTTTTCACATCGTCATTATGGGGTTTTGTGTGTAAACTTTTGAGGAACTAAATTAATTTGATCCATTTTGGAATAAGGCTGTAACAAAAAAAAAATGTGGAAAAAAACATACATATATGCTGTTTGCATATTATTTACCACAGTTAGTGCTAAATACAGTGTCATCCCACATTAACCTTTTATATATATTTATAAGAAACTGAAAAAAGTAACAATCTTCAAGGCATGCCAATGCTTCTCCAGTGCTCCCAAAAAAACCTTACACCTGAGAGTGTTATCTAATGGAACCTTACTGTAAAGTGTTACCAATTGAGTTTTTAGAAATGTCCTATATGTATTTGCTTTACGTTTATTTATTTTTTATCCTAAGGATTTCCTCAAAACCCCCACCACTTTAACTACACCTGGGGAAACAAAAATGATGGAAAGGCCCTCGTTCAACTCGTCCTTGATTATGGGGAAAATAACTAAAGCGCTGAATCAAAAATTAATGTCAGCTCCATTAAAGAATCAATACATGACCTCAATGAAGCAGCGCATCCTGCATAGCCACACTCTCAAATGTACTACGCAATCAGAGGCTGCTCTCCACACTGTAACTAAAAGCGTCTGCTCAATATTTATAAGAGGATGTCTAGACTACCGCTGTACAGGGGTCAGGTAAGTTGAAGATGTCCTAATGCCTGAATACCACCATAAATCACATCTGCTCTCAGTCGTAATCATGATAGACAGGACTGTAAAATGCAAAATGCTTGCTCAGGTTTAGACCTCTGACACCTTCAGTTCAGACGAAGGCCTCCAGGTCTCCCTTTAAACCTGTCACGAAGCACCAGTGAAAAAATATCTATTCAGACAGAACAGCAAGCTGGGATTATTCACGCTTATGGGATCGATGCAAATGTGTGGATGCAGATGCAAAGCTCTTCTGTAGTATTCTTGGCTCTGCACCATACAATTATGCTACGCTTTGTAACATTACTACTGTAGATTTTCGTTTTCAAAGCTGGAAAAGGATTTAGGGCCTTTTTCTTCATAATTAAATGCAACATCATTTGCTTTTGCCTAAAATTAACCTAGTACTGTCATCATAATCAGAACAAAAATAAAATCTGTTTGCAGGAAGAAAGAAAGAAAGAAAGAAAAGATCACAATATTGCACAGAACTACTGAAGTGGCATTAGTGTAACTGGTTAGATTTTCAATTATAAATGTTCTACACTGTAAAGAAATTGAAGTAATTTTAATAAGTTAATCAGGTTTCAAGTAAGTTATGCAAAGTCTAACTCATTATTGTTTTATTAGTTAGTTAGTTAGTTAGTTAGTTAGTTAGTTAGTTAGTTAGTTAGTTAGTTAGTTAGTTTGATTGCAATAAGTTGAGATGACTTAAAAGGTTAATTAGATTTAACTTAAAAAAGGCAGCAAGACTTTTTTTTGGGGATAAATAGGTGCACCATTCAGTGGTTCCCAAAGTGGGGGCTCGCAGGACAATGACAGGGGGCCGCTTGGTGATTTCCAAAAGTCAAATAAATTTAAAACATAAAAAAATAGTAGTTATTAGTAACATAAAAAGCATTAACATGCAAATAAATTGCCATGAGCTTTGCAATATTTTTTGTTTGATTGTGTGTTTACGTTAGAATAACAGCACAGCAATACCGTCATCTGCAGCAGATTGATTTTATAGCAACAGGTTAAACTTTCTGACACCTTTATGGCAATCAAATACACTGAAATAAATATAGGCCACAACTGAGCATTGATCTCTGAGTCTCCAAAATTAAACCAAGAATAGATACCAAGTGCTAAAAACATTGTGCCCACCAGTCTCATTAGGCGAGGTTAATATTTTTCATTCATTTTCTTTTCGGCTTAGTCTCTTACTTAATTAGGGGTCGCCATAGCAGAATGAACCGCCAACTTATCCAGCATATGTTTTACGCAGCGGATGCCCTTCCAGCTGCAACCCAACACTGGGAAACACCCATACATACTCTTTCACACACATACACAACGGCCAATTTAGCTTATTCAATTCCTCTGCAGCGCATGTCTTTGGACTGTGGAGGAAACTGGAAACAGGATCACCAAGAGAAAACTCACGCGAACACAAGGAGAACATGCAAACTTCACACAGAACTGCCATCTGACCCAGCTGGGGCTCGAACCAGTGACCTTCATGCTTTGAGGCGATCGTGCCACCCACTGCACCACCGACCCACTGACACCAGGTTAATAAAATTAACTAATGACTATATAAAAGATAGTCTATGGTTGTTAGACTGTTGCACTTTTTGTGTTGTCAATATAAATGTGGGAGTCATGAGTCACTGGCATTGTTATTTTGGGGGTCGTTCACTGAAAAGTTTGGGAACTCCTGGACTAAGTAAAATTTTAAAAATTGCTTAAAGTGTTCGACCCAAAACACCCGTAGCCAATCAGTAGTAAGTGGTGCATCTAGTAATGATAACAGAGATTTCAAAACAGGGGCAATGCCTTTGTCTGGAAGATGAATTGGCGTGGTTGGTGTTTTGAACTATCAAAATTTGCTTGGTGAACCTGTAATATATAGTTTGAAGAGTTTATCAGGCTCATATGTGTAGGTTCAGTAAGTTCACTTTTATGGCACAGGGTAAGTTCTTCTCATGGTCTTTAAAGTGAAATAACTCAACATGAACACAGGGGGCTGAGAAAAAATGTAATTTCCTATGGAAATCTTAAACTATACAAGTAAAAAAACATATATAATTTTTAATAAAATGAACTAGTAAAAACATATTTGATTTTAGCTAGTGGCCAAAGAATTTTCATTCAGTTTAAAATGAAAAAACGTAAATAAAAATGAATAATAGTGTATACAGACACACAGCAAAAAAATATATAATACAACCTTTTCTACAATTAAAATGAAATCCAAATCTAATATATTCTGAACTGAAATGATAAAAATCCACCACAATAACTATTCAGAGATACTAAAACAACATTGGTTTTGGGTTAAATGTATGGGGAAGAAAGCGCAGAGGAGTTCAGTATGACAGTATTTGTTGTAAGCTGTTAAGGCCTTACTGGACTGTAGTGTATATTGTCAATCACCTGCTCGTATTTCTCCAGCTCGGTGTGGTAGATCTGTCTGATCTGGGAGAGTTTGGCCCTGTAGTCTGAGTGCTCGATGGAGTTGTCAGTGGGACTGCCAGCCGCTGCTGCTGCAGCCGCCGCCGCCGCTGATCCTCCACCCTTCTCTGGTCCGGCTACACCCTCCGCCAGCAGCATGTTGTCCAGACGCATCAGCTGTGGATCTGGTGGATCCTCCTCCTGAGCCCCGCGGATACTTAGACCTGATCAACAAAAAAAAACAAGAGATGCTCAGTGACATGATGAGGCTTTTTATAGTCTTACACAGTTTCAAGAAGATGTTTGAAGCAGATTTACCTGTGAAACATAACAAATCTTCAACTTTTTTTGTATTTTAGAGAAGTATAATGGACATAGATTTGTTTGGAAGACTGTGAAAGTAAGTCATTTTGACTATTTGTCTCGCATAATTTGACTTTTTCTTTGTAGATTCTAATTGAACAATTCCAATTGAACATCTCACAATCGAATCGTGATGTTATGCCTCACACGAAAAAAAAAAAAATCTTGCAATTTAGAGTTTATAACTGAAAATTATCTTGTTTTTCCCCTTTGGCAGATTATTTTGCTAGTTTTAGGGGAAAACTCACTACATTTTGACCTCTGATGATAATAATAATGATAATAATAATAATAATAATAATAATAATAATAATAATAATAATAATAATGTTCTAATGTTATAATAATAATAATAATAATTATTATTATTATTATTATTATTATTATAATATTATTATTATTATTATTATTATTATTATTATTATTATTATTACAATAATAACAACAACAACAACCATAATAATAATAATAATAATAATAATAATAATAATGTATGTGTAATGTGCTTTTCTTAGACTACAAGACAAAATACTAACAATACAAGGCAAAATAGCAGAAACACCACAACAATAAAAGAAAAAAAATGCAACAAAACAATAAAAATAAGAACCATAAGATAGAATAAAAAAGTTAACAAAATGGTCATCCTAAGTTAAAAGCAATGCTAAAAAGGTGAGTCTTAAGAAGTTTCTTAAAACAGTCCAGAGAAGTGGCATTCCTAATGCTGATGGGTAGGGCATTCCACAGCTTACACTGTATGAGAAAGCCCTACCACTCATGGTCTAGAGTTTACACCGTAGCTGATACAGGGTAAGTCCCGATGAGAAACGAAGACTGTAAACTGTAAGACTTTAACCTACTATTTCTTAAAACTAGACAATGTTTTTTGCCTGTCTAGAAAATGCTTCTTGATTTAAGACTTTTTAGATATTTGGATTAAAAGAGACAAGACAAAAAATCTACAGTAAGTGAGAAAAGCATATATTGCTGTGTTCCAGCATTGAGATTAAAGCAACAAGTTATTGACACTTTAATAAATAAATACAAATTCTGCATGAGCCACTGCCCTCAGGAATCGTAAACAATACAAGAATGAATTAATTATTGACAAATGATTGAATTTGCTATCGGTTTTAAACACAGACACACCATCACACAAGCAGCGAGACTCTGCAATCGAGTCTGCCAGCAAATACCACAATCTGTCACAACAGGCCAAAATACCTCCAGATTGTATTCAAGTAAAACAAAAAATATGTGGTCCACTTCCGGCCCATCGCTATGCTTGAGTTCAAGTGAGATGGATCAGGGCGCTGGAGGTATTGAGAGAGTGCTGAAAAGGCCCGTAGGTACGAATTTGTTTTTCCTCTGTTTTGCAGCGCTGCCGTCTCGAATTTTCACAGCACACTGCACACACGGTTTGTGTACTCACAGCCATACATGACAGGGACACTCGCCGACTGACACACACTCGACGGCGTGATGGCACCTCTCCACGCTGAGGCGATGCTAAACAGAAAGACGCGCGTCTACACGTGTCTGAACGCGCTCGCCTGCTGCTCCCAAATCACGAGTGCCGCGTAATAACCAGCAGAAAAAGTGTTCTCACAAGTGCCGTTATGTTTCGTTGCTAACAAACTGTTTTATTACACATCCCGGGTTCTGCTCTGTGCAGAGGATGGGCTGCTTGAAATGTATGTAAATTTGCATAGCAATCGATATGAGGGTGAAAGATAGCTCATTGTGTTTGCCTGATATTCATAATGAACCTCGGAGCAGTAAAGAGCCATTAAGATTGATTACAAACTTCCTCATCACGCTTGCCTCTCTTTCTCTCTTTCTGTGTTTGCATAATGAACACCATTCATACTGGAGAATAATGAAGCAGAAAAAAAGTTATTTTGGTGAAAGATTTTAATCAAATGTTTTCATCTTAACATGTATTTGGAATGGAGTTTAAGTTTAAGGAGTAAGAGGGTTGTGTTTTATTTTCTGTGTTAATGGAAGATGTCTCAAATTTGTAGAAGTAGAAGTTGTTGTCTAAAATAATCAATGGTCTTTGTATTTAAAGCAGCAAAAATTATATATATATATATATATATATATATATATATATATATATATATATATATATATATATATATATATATTACAACTACTAAGTTTACAAATGTGTTAAAGAAATCTCTCTGTTAAACAAAAATTGAGTTAAAAATAAACAGGAGGGCTAATATTTCAGGGGGGCTAATAATTCTGAATTCTTCCATTTATTTTCTTTTTGGCTTAGTCCCTTTATTAGTCTTGGGTCACCACAGCCGAATGAACCATCAACTTATCCAGCTTATGTTTTATGCAGCGAATGCCCTATTAGCTGCAACCCATTACAGGGTAATATCCATACACTCTCATTTACACACATACACTACAGACAATTTAGCCTACTCAATTCACCTATAACGCATATCTTTGGATTTGTGGAGCTAACCAGAGCACCTGGAGACCATGTGAACACGGGGAGAACAAGCAAAAGCCACACAGAAATGCCAACTGACCCAGCTGAGGCTCGGACCAGCGACCTTCTTGCTGTGAAGTATATATTTATATATTTTCTTTTCTTTGTCTTTTTAAAAATAAAAGTATCTATACTTATACATACTATACAGGGATATATACACCAATATGGAAAATTATGATAAATAAAATAAATAAAATAACATTTAAATAAATAAATAAACAAATGAACAAAGAAACAATTGAAGAAACGGAACTAACAAATAAACGAAAAAACTAACAAACAAACAATTACATACATACATACATACATACAGTACATACATACAGATTTGCTTGAATATAATAAATTTAATACATAAAATAATAATTGAAGAACTGGGTCAAGTGCTTCTGCTGAACTGTTCTTATGCTGTTACAAAATTGGCACATTTAGGTTCTGTAATTTTTTTAAATCAGTGATCTTCACTGCCTGGTTGATATACGATATGAAGTGGGTCACACATTGTACAAGAAGCACTACATTAAAGTAGGAAATTACATTTCCCCCTCGCCATGTTTTTAAAATATAAACATTTATTTTATCCCAGTATATTCAATGGAGTTTTTGTGCTAACATGCTAATTCTGATGGGCATGTGCAAAGATGGCTTTTTATCTCATTTTACACTTGCACAACTAAATGAATGATGAAATCTATTTAACTGATGGTATTTTAATTACAGTACAACATCAATGCAGTGAAAGAAGCCTTATTAAATTACAAATTAAACATAAAACATTAACCTTTTACCGGAGGTTTGTCAGTATGGGAAGAAACACTAGCTGTACTTACATCCTAATGTATTTAAAATAAATATTTAATTTAAATACTATTAAAGAAAAACAAAAAACGCAAACAATAGTTTTCAACTGGTGTGTACATGCTGGAGACTTACTACTGATTACAGAACCAGCTTTACTGACAAAATGTGTAAACAATTACTTTCATGCAGAGCAAACCAATATTGCATAACTTACTGGCCAATCATTTTTTCAGCTATTTTTATTTATTAGTCCACCAAAGTATACATTGGGTTTTGGATTTTTTGCACTTGTGATTTTAACTGTTTTTCGACTTAGTCCACAAAGTGTCAGCACTGAACAAAAATGTCTCCTTAACAGTCAGAAAATAAACAAAAGAGAAGAACAACGAACTACTGAAGATGCCAAAAAGTCCACATTACTGAGCACATCTGTGAGGGGATTACAAGATACTGACATCTCTGCTACAAATCAATACAAAGACATTTTTTATTGCTTATGTAGATTTCAAATAGAAAAAAAAGCATGGACACTGAAAGAGGATTAATATTTCTAGAGTGCTTGTGTTTAGCGCCTGTGTTCGAACAGATATACATTCGTCTGTGCATACAAATACACGATATTCCTGACTTAAGAGATCTATCAGTGAATCATAACTATTTCTCATTTAGCAAATAGGTTTGGGCACTGGCTTGACATGAGAGCTCCAGCTTTAAAAGCCAGACATAAAATAAAAACAAAAACCTCAATAAAAAAAAAACAAGCTGAGATTAGCATACTATTATTTAGTTAACACAAAGGAGGGGAAAAATCATCATGGGTGCACAAAGAAATGCATTGGACTAAGTGGAGCGTGCATATGGTGTGGTTGGTCTGGGTATTTTGGATGGTTTAAGTAGTGGGTGATTTGGGGGTTCTGAGAGTTTCTAAGAGCTTCATTACAGGCTTCATTAAGATACTGTGAGATGCTAAATCCTAAATGAGCAGATTACTGACTTTATTATTGCACTGTGGAAGCCTGGCAACCAGCTAAGCCTCTTTGTGTATTTGACAGAGACAGAAAGACACACATGTACACACACTCACACATTACACAAAAAAACACAGAAGTATGCAGGTATTGTATGTTTCATGGGAAAACATTTTTTGTTATTTGTTGACAAAAATAGATTATATTATAGGTACTTTAATGACAGACAATGTGTATGGACATATTATATAGTTAAAAAAGGGGGCAGTAGGACATTTTTAAAGATGTCTTAAGCTCACCAAAGCTATATTTATTTGATTAAAATGCAAAAAGCAATTGTGTTAAATATTAAACGCTTTATTATGATTGCATATGCTGCATTTTTAAGATCGCCAGTCATCAGCGTAACGTTAACCTCCAAAAATTAATGTAACATGATGATTACTGCTAATTTAATAAATAAATAAATAAATGTGATATTATTAGTATAATTATTTAATGAATATAAAGTCTTTTTTTTTTTAATTTAAAAGTATATATGTAAGTATATATATATATATATATATATATATATATA